ATTCCCTGCGTGAACAGATTGTCCATGTCGCCGCAGTCCTACAGTGAAACTGTGAAAAGTCAACTAAGCGAATGTGGCTCCATCCGTGTTAACACGACTAAGTTAATAGAGGCGAGTGGTTAATCCGCACAAAGTGGGAATAGTATGACACCCATATCCACAGTAGGCCCTGAAACAAACAGGAAGGCCAATAAGAAACGTTCACGACGTCGCAAGACGACGAAAACGTTCCCCAAGAAGGCAGACAATTGCAAGGTCTGCAACTCTATTGTCGAACAAGCAGACTCTGCTTACGAATGTAACTTTTGTAAGCAATGGGTACATTGTAGATGTGACACCGGAGTACCAAAGGTATATTACGATTTTATGCTTAAGAACCCATGCCCTTGGTTCTGGTACATATGCCCAAGTTGCCGTCCTAATGCAGCCTCGTGTAGTTCCTCGAAAGCTACAGATGGCATAGAGTTATCAGGAAAAAACGCGAAACGTTTTACTCCCACCAACTCAGAAAACAGCACAATTGCATGTAAATCGGGGATACCAAAATCCACACCGGTTATACTTGCAATTCCTGCCATAACTGCCCCAGACACAGAGGTTGAAGCACCAAGGGTACCTGTCGCTGGGAAAAGACCCTTACCGTCCACCAGTAAAAGTGGCCACAGCACTGCGACACATAATAATACCCAGTTGCACCAGACGAAACAAAACGGTCTTAAGGGGGATGACAAATGTGCGAGAACCGAACCTAAATCCACGGTTAGTCGATCAAACTGCGTTACCCTCTTTAATGTACCAGACTGTAGCAGTAGTCTGGTGGAAAACAGGGCCCTGTTTGATCAGGAACAGTGGTCCAACTTATGTAGCACACTGGGTCTGGACATCCAAACAGTAAAACTGTGCAGATTGTATAAGGGCACTGCTGCTCCTCAAGGCAAACCATCCCCACTGAGAATAACACTAGGCTCTGCCGAAGACGCCGAAAGAGTTTTATTGACTTCCCAAGTCCTTTCTATAGGGAGGACCTGCAATATACGTGTTAGGCCAGATAGGCCATGGAAGGAAAGACAGATGGCGAGGGAGTCACCAGAGCTTATTCCTTCTGCGTCCATGGTTGTTCACGGCATTCCCGAACTGGGAACTGGGAACGCTTGTGAGAAGCACTGTCACGATGCACAGCAATGGAGATAGTTGGCATCCCAGATGGGTCTGGGAAGTTCAGGGGCTGTCTCTATTTTTAGACTGCCTCGACCCACTCACCTAATGTCAATTAACACTCCACGTCTGTTAGCTGTTAATTTCAGCTCCTGAAACCACTTGACTACTGCTCTCCAGAGATGGTACGAGACCAAGGACAAGGTCAGCAGACACATTCGCTGCTGCGAGAGCCGGCCTCGTACCCAAAGGAGAGAACAAAACGTTGTCATGGAACATTCCCAACCCCTAGTCACAATACAGCGGTGCAGCACGGACGATGATAGCCAGTGTCATCCAAGTGCTCCGATTGAATCAGAAGAAAAAAACGCCAACAGGCCGGTTCCCGGGGAATCGGCCAACTAGTTCGAAGGATAACTCCTCAACCGACAGCCCACATCACGTCAACCACCCCCCAATACGGGGACGTAGTGAGACTGACTACCAGTTGCCTGTACAGTAATGTGAGAGGTCTAAGCGGCAAAATAGCTGAACTTAGACACCTACAATCATAGCTGAACGCCAAACTTATAATACTGACGGAAACCTGGCTAACCCCTACGGTGGCAGACAGCGAAGTCAGTATAAATGATATGGTCCTAGTCAGGCGAGATAGGGATCTGAAAGAAGGAGGTGGAGTCGCCATATACGTCGACAAACAGCTCAGATGTGTCCATGCAATAGACCCTCCCCTCATTGAGCTCCCTGACTCCATATGGTGCCATTTCACCGTTGGGTACTGTAAATATCTAGTGGGCAGCATTTACAGATCACCTTCATGTGGAGCAGACCACAACCAGGTGCTGCTGAATACAATTTCAGCGACACATCACATGCGTTATGATCAAATTGTCATAGCTGGAGACTTCAATGCCCCATCTCTTAACTTGATGACGGGATGTGCCCAGGACAGATTTGATCGAAATCTAGTGCATACCATCACGGAGGCCGGATTCACCGAAAATGTCAGAATGGATACTAGATGGGGCCCAGATGGGAAGTCTTCTAGACTGGATTACGTGCTCACTAGTGACCAGCTACTAGTGGAAAACGTTCAGATCACGACTCCCATAGGTAGTAGTGACCACGCGGTCATAACATTCGACATAGTCCTCCGCGAGCGTTTATAGTGGGACAATACACTGCCCTATCTGTGTTATAACAAAGCCAATTACACCGAAATGCGAAGACTTTTGTCTGAAGCAAATTGGCCAAAAAATTGGACAGAGCTTACAGTAGAAGAACACTGGAGAGTGGTAAAGGAGATCATTCACCAGGCGGTCTCAGACACTGTTCCTTTGGTCACACCTAAAGCTAGAAAGCAACGTTCATGGCTAAAAAGGGGGACACAACGCCTTCTACAGGCGAAGCGAAAAGCCTGGTTTGCGTGGCGAGTATCGAAGAGTCAACCCGAACATGAAGTGTACCTCGAACTCAGGAATCGGTGTAACATACGAGTCCGGAGTGATAGAAGGACATTTCAGAGAAACCTCGCCAATAAGCTTCTCGTGAACCCCAAAAGCCTATACAGGTTTATGTCTGAAAGAAAACCGACCAACCATGGAGCTTGCAATCTAGTGGGTTCTGATGGGAAATCTCTTACTAGTCTTGAAATGGCAGAGACATTCAGTCTAGCCTTTCACAGGCAACTGAACAGTAATGAGGATTTTACCCCCACAAAACATCAAGATTGCAATGCAAGACCAACGTGCGAAAACCTGCTGGGTACATTTCAAATTACCCCGGTTATGGTACTCGTAAAATTGGGAAAGTTGGCTTCGGGAAAGTCTACAGGTTGCGATGACATAAGACCATCCGTCCTGAAGCAGTGTTCAGAAAGTCTCTGCCAAACCCTAAGTGATCTGTTTCAACACTCCTTTGATGTAGGGAAACTTCCATGTGAATGGAAACGAGCCATCCTATTCCCTATCTTCAAGGGTGGTGACCGGCAGAACGCGACCAGTTACAGACCAGTTGCGCTACTCCCAGTGATATCGAAGATATTGGAAAGTCTCATTGACGACCACATGAGAAAATACTTCGACGGGACTAACCTACTCCATGAAGCACAGCACGGTTTCAGGAGGGGAAGATCCTGTGTGACGAATCTTCTACTAGCTTGGAACGATTGGACACTATCATGGGATGTAAAGGTACCAGTCCATGTGATCTTTCTCGACTTTGCGAAAGCATTCGACACAGTTCACCATGGTCTGCTCCTTCACAAAATAAGCAAAGTGGGTGTTTCTGGAGCACTTCTCGCATGGCTGGAAGATTATTTAGGCGAGAGAGAATTCTGCACCAAAGTCAACCGCATCCGATCATCCTGGCACACCTCAGCATCAGGGGTTCCTCAGGGTTCTATCTTAGGGCCGTTGATGTTTTTGATTTTTATCAACGACCTGCCCTGTCAACTGAATTGCTCTGCGCTTCTCTACGCTGACGACGTAAAGATTTGGAGAGCAATAAACTCATCGGAAGACTCCGACAGATTGCAGACTGACCTGCAAACTCTGGGAGAATGGGCTCTGGCTAACGGAATGCCTTTCAACTTAAAGAAGAGCAAAGTAGTGCAACTTCATTCCGGCAGGTCACAGAGTGCAAATTACACCCTTGGTGGCCAGAACTTGAGTTGTGTGCCATCGGAACGCGATCTAGGCCTTATTTTAACAGAAAAGCTAGACACCAGTGTTAATTACACGAGGGACGTCGCCAAAGCTTACGCCACTTTACACTTTATGCATAGGCAGCTGGGAGCTCTTACTCCTGAACTATTCCTAACGTTGTATACGACATACGTGCGGCCACTCCTTGAGGTGCATAATATCATTGCTCCTCCGCTACTCAAAAGGGATGCTAACATGCTAGAAAGTGTCCAGAGACGAGCGACAAAATGGGTGATTGGCCTCCGCAACAAATCCTATGAGAAAAGACTGAAGAAATTAAGTCTTTTCACACTTAATTACCTTAGTTACAGGGGAGACCTCATCACCGTCTATAAGATCTTAAATGACCAGGCCCACCCTAATAAGAGCATCCTGCCATTAAGTGGTTATAGGCTTCCACGAGGTAACCTGCTAAGGATAGCACACCAGAGACCAAGGACTCGAGTGCGTTCACATTTCTTCTCGCTTCGAGTTTGCCGTCTCTGGAACGCTTTACCGGCGGCCGTAACTACAGCTCCATCTGTGGAGACTTTTAAGCGGAAGCTGGACAATCATGCAGAAATGCATGGTTTGTGTCTCAATGGCTTACCCTCTTAAAATTTGAAACCACATTGTCAATGGATAAGCATACAAGCTAAATCCCCAAGACCCGTCCTGTCTTCTCTCACCGTACCTACTACTCTATCTTTTCTTTCTTTCTTTATTATTTCACCTTTATTATTTCACTTATCTCAACCTGTATTATCTACACTACAACCTTATTATCATTATTATTATTATTACTATTCTACTTTTATGACTATACCGAATGACCAACGGGTGTTAGGTCAAACTCCATTCACGGCAGCAGCTGAGTCCTAACATAGTGCACACTACAAACCACAATCTTGACCAATCCTCGCACCACTCCTCTTGGAGTCTACCAGAGCTAAAGCAGTCGAGTGGCAGGATTTACTACGCATAAGTTCACAGAAGATCTGGAACCTCTACCTTACAATCAAGAAGCGAGCTCAAAGAAATCACTGGTTTATTCTAGCTCGTAATCAGGATATTGGATATTGAACTGCTGGATAAACGGAAAAACCAATGTGTAAACGGACAGCTACGGAACTGCAATCCAACATGGCCGACTAACATGGACGAAAATGACCTTTGAGCGTCTCACTCCATCAATGACCTTGTACGTGATGTTTAATTTCTGCCTTGATTCTGATACTATTGTACACTTGACACAGGATGGATTTCAGACGGCGCTGGTTTTGGTGACCGTAGATTGTATCTGCGTTTTCGTGGTGTGTTTGATTTTTAGGTGTCCAGTTATCAGGATTGTTTTTCTGCGTAATTAAATTCTAGTATCGATGTGTATGCCTTAAAGCATTACTTGAGTGAAGGTTATAAAGCGTCCTAATTAACGGATACATTCGATGGACTGCAGTCATTCTGCATTGAATGCAGAGTTTTTGTTGCTCTGCAAATGTTCTGTGGTGTTGGACTTATCTAAGATTTCATAAAAACGTTTAGTTACAACAGTGCCAAGCGAAATAAACAAATTTTTCAAGGAATCTGGCTGCAACCTTAAAATTACGGTATATAACAACTCTGAACTTAGTCGAAAAAAATTGGCGAAAAATGGTTTAAATGGGCATGATTTTGGGCGTATGGTAGGATTGGGAGTATAATGGGTGAGCCCTGATTAAATAATGGTTAAAGTGGGAAAGTAATGGTAAAGTAATCGGGAATATTGCTTCGATAGTGGTAAAATGTTCGTTGAATAACAGTTCAAATATTAAAATATTGATTCAGTTTTTGCCAGGAAATATTCGATGTGTAACTGAAATTCGTCTGCTTTTCTTACTTTTGGTAATGTCCGTTATTTGCCCACTTTTTACCATTTTGTCCGATTTAAAATGAATAGCTTTGAAGAGTTGAAGCTGAAACTTTTGGTCCGGTCCATTGTAGACCTCATTTATTCCTATCTCCTCATTACTAGTCAAGTACTCTCAAATTTCACATACCAGATCTCGGCTAAGTTAATGTGTCATAGCCATAGCTAACGTCTTTCAAGGTGTGACTTTCAGGAACCAATGAGATACTGGGAATGCTATGATATGTCATGCCAAATAAAATCATGCCTGCTTTTTTGCCCTTGGAGAAGGCAGATACAGTATTTTACCTATTCGCTAGGTACTTTTTCTTTTAGTCCATACTGTTAGGTAGAGTTATAGCCTTTTAGATTAGGACATACTATTAAGGTGTTGAGTATGGTTAAATTTAGGGTTAGAGTTAGGAGTAGGTCGAGGAAAAGTGTCAAAAGCATCAGTATTTCCCAAAGTATTATGACCTACAGTCACCTTGATGAGTGCATGAATCGCAGTTGGCATGCTTTCTCTATGGATCATCTGTGTAGTGACTGGGAGTTCTTACAACACATGCGACAACTATATATTATAATGTCATGTTTGCAGTGATTTTTTAGTGCATTTTTCAACGATTATGCGACTTTAGTGCACCTGAATTCTGATTGGTTGTCCAAGGTCACTAGTTTTGGCTATGATAGTTTAACTTTGCCCAGATATCCTATAGCATATATTGTAATGAATGGAAGGTTTAGCAGTTTTTGATTTATTCTCTCACTCACACTAACAACTAAAGTTACAGTTCATGCATATCTCAATATAACGTACTCAAAGTATCTTCAGCGTTCCAAAAGTTTTTCTTTGACTTTGAGTGTTGTTCATCTCCATAAGAGAATATTATAATTGGTAAATACTTGCCGAAATACATTTTCTAGAAGTGTTTAATGATATACACTAGTTTACGTTGATTAAAACACATAAATACAAATGATCTATCAATGATATGTTGTTGAGTGTATGCAAAAACGTAGTCTATGTGCGTATATATTTCCCTCTTGGTTTCTAATAGAATGCAACTGCTTTTTAGGTTGCAATGTAAAGAGCCTCAATACTAATCAGTCACGCTCCTGAGTCTTTTAAAAAACTGTGTGTTTGTTCGGACATATTCACTGTGTTTTCTTCGTTTAATGTGGATATTTTGCCTACAAGCTTAGATTTTAATTTAGATTCCTTTATTATAAGTATGTCTATGAGAAGAAATGTTATTACATTCTGACGTATATGACTGACTCTAGATTTACTCGGTTACACAATGAATTCTCTTCGTATAAATCTTTCCCCAGTTAGCACTGCATGAGTAATCAGCTTTGAGTTAGGCTTTCTGTCAGTTGGTACTAAATAATTGTCTATGTAACACAAACTGTAGATTTTTGTTAATATACTGATTCTTTGTATGACACTTCATTTGCACTCAATGTTATTTATTTCTACAATATTTAATACACATCTATTTAATAACAGTTTATTACTAAAAAATCGAATCATGTGATTGCAACGGTCACCTGCAAATGTTTGAGTTTTGATTTATATTAACAGCTTCAACTGGTAGGAAGAGCTTAAAAGTACGTCCAGCATATAAACGCGAACTAAATTCCACTTTACGTGGAAAACCATTGGGTAGTTTTGAAGAGTACATAGCGTTAACTCCATATGAAAACTTGGACTAAATATTAGTCCTATATTGCTGTCAGCCATATCGTGTTTGGATTCGTTGTGCATTAGGTCTGCAAGAATAAACTGTGTATTCTCCCAGGTTGGTCATAACGGTTTCTTATCTTATTAGAAACCAGAGCTTTCTGTTAGTTAGAGTTGTTTTGATACCCTTAGTCCAACAAAATTAGCTTTGAACGTTTTACTAAGCATGCGACGTAGTGATACAATCGAAGAGTATGAAGATTTCATTGTCTTTAAGTAAGGAATGGTTATTAGACTACCATCCTTCTTTGGCTGTTTGGAATGAGAAACATCATTTTGTAACAGGAAGTTAGTTTAATGGCATATTTTTGAATATCACTGATGTGTCTAAAGGTGTCGTGGAATGTAAGCTTTTGTACATATTTAGGCACTTTGGTTTTCGTAACTTAATCTAGAAGCACTTACACTTTGTTACCTGTTGTTGTAAACACAGAAAACACTCAACGAAACTTACAGATTTATGCTCCGAACCCAATTAATGCTCAGCTTACCACTTGCCTAACACGAAAAACTTAAAGAATTTGGAGTGCAAGTAAATTTATATATGATGATAATAATACCAAACAGTTGTATTGTGACAAAGAAACGTAGTTGAAATTTTTATAGGAAACAGGTCC